TGCTGCAATTTTCTTCCCCAAGACGGATTTCCTCCGCACGGTTTATTGGGTGCTTGGGTTAAGTCTGTGCAAAGCTGGAGAAGCTGCAGCCTCCATGGTACCCCCCCAGCAGACCTGGGGGGCTTCCAGAGGAAGCATCAGGCAGGATCCAACCAGCTGAAAGGGGGAAGAGAGAGCAAGGAGGGAATTGCCGGCATCTAAAGCCTTCAGGACCTTCTCTTCACACCGAGAGGTGACAACGCCAGCGTCCAGCCTTTGCAAGACTGGCTGTGGGAGACCCGGGGGAGACAACATGGCTTCAGGGAGACCTGCTGAAGGGTGCTGCTGGTCCCCAGGGAGGCAAAGCCTGCAGCAAGCTCCCCATACCAAACCAAACCAACCCAACCCACACCACCCTCCCAGGGCAGCGTGGAGCCTTCCTGGCTCTGCCTGATGGGAACAGAGAGCAGCAGGCCAGGCAGCAGCGGGTTAAGAGCTTGAGGTGGGACTTGGTGAGCGGCTTCCTCCCCGCTAACAATAACACAGTGAGAAGGAGAAGGGATGCACGGGGCTCTGCAGGGCCAGATAGCGATGGAACAACCCCAGCCCCGCAGCTGCGGTGGTGCCGGAGGAAGCCTCGGCATGTTATCTGCCGGCCCCACTCGGCTTCCTTGGGCTGCGGGGACCAGGATGTGCTTCCTCCTGAAACACCTTTCTCATGCACCCAGGCTGGGTCCCGGTACCTCAACAGCAGCCTTGGGCCCCAGCACCCTCCCGGCATTAGTCCCCGCAGTGAGCTGCCGGTCCCCAGACGATCCAGCCTTCCCAGCACCAAGTCTACCCCACCGCTGGTGGCACCGGGAATGGTCACCCGGGGCTCCGAGCCACAGGACTGCAGTGCCAGTCGGCATGGAGATCTCCCCACCGTGACCATCATTCGCGCCTTGGCCGCACGAAGAGCTGCTTTGTCTGGAAGACTCACGCTGAGGGGATCTCCAGGTCCTGGCTGAGGTCGTTGCGGTTCTGGTTGCCTCTGCTCCCCGTCCTTCCACAGCCAGCAAAGGTCTGCTGCACCTGGAGCTGCGGCACTGGCCACCCTGGCCACGCTGGCCGGTGTCCCCA